CTCGTAAATTTCTTAGATCGGATGCCACCCGCTTGTTATCTAAAGCTATTGAAGAAATCAGAAATGCTCAGAATAATATTCCGAATGCTCAACGTATTATGTGTAAAAAACATTATATAGAGGCAACAACATATCAAAAAATCATTGATAATCAGAGGCCTTCTAAACCAACTAAGGAGTGGCGTAGAATCTTAGAATCTGTTAGTGTCTCCGATTGGATTTCAGAAAATAACTAGGAATCTTTACAGCCGGTAAGTGCTGAGCATGATACCTCCCCTACTAATATACAAGAAGATGAGGTTATTCATACAGAGCATCCCGGAAATGATAGAGATGGCACAAATTCTTATATAAGGCTGAATACAGTAACTAGCGAACGAAAAGATAAGGTTAGTCGAAAAAAAAATAGTATGAAGGTAAAAGGTAAATCTTCTCTAGTAGAAAAAAATAGAATAGTCAATTCTTTCAAAGATGATACATCTAGACGGGAATCTGATCTTAATAAATTATTAAATATTACTGGAAACATTGTTACGCATCCGATCTTTTCTCTATAAGCTTAGAGCATCTTTCCACTAAAATTTTACTTGCATTTAATGCCAAGTCAAGCCATTTCTCAGTTTTCAAGAGGTGCTTTTCAAGATCTTCACACTTTTTTTTAAATCTTCACTAATCAGGCTAGAGGAATCGGTAGATACTTGGTTCTGCTCCTCTTTTGACGGTTCTTTAGCTACTGGGGCCTTGCTATATATTAGAATAACATAAGTCTTCCCATGTAACTTTATGCGGAACTGGTTTTTATTTGGCTTAGAAACACCCTGGAGCTTTCAAATATTAGACATACCTAAAAATAGCATTGGTTCAGGTTCGCCATTATCTATATATATAAAATTTCCAATGACTGTGACTGTCTTTCCCTCTTTGTCCTTCATAGTAACCGGCACATCCGTGTATCATCCTAATGAATTGATAATATGTTTGGAATTGCCCTTTATAGCAAAATCGGATGGCTCATCAATCTTCCATCCAAGTGCATGAATTGCTGGATCATTTATTCCACCAAATTCACTTTCAGTATCTAAAAAAAATCAGGAATCGATAGATCATTTATATTACAATGCAAGTACTGTAAAGATAAAAACCACTCATCTGATTTTTTTGACTCCTTCTCCAGAGCCTTTTGGGACAAGCACATTTTTCATATCGGTGGTGAAAGCTTAGACAATAGCTGATTATACGTTTCAGGCATGTTATTTTCTATTGGTACCTGTTTTTTTTTACCAGTGGATCATACCTGGTCCACCTATGATTTTCTTCATCATAACCTTCTTCCTCATTATCCGAATCTGGAGGTGTGTTTTGGAAATTTATTGGTGTAAGAGGCTTAAAATAAGCAGACCGATTGAAATTAGATCATGCTATTTGTCTATTGGGGCAACTATCTTTACTATAGCCTGTCTCTCCGCAAATAACACATTTACATATATATACTTTTTGAAATTGATTAGTTAATTGATTTACCGCATCTCTATCTTCATTGATTGCATTTTCTATTTTATCAATCCTAGCAGAAATTTCATTTCGTTAAGGGCGAGGTCTTTGAAAGGGTTTTACAGGATAAGCCAAGTCTAAATCATTTTTATTAAATAACCCTAATTCTTTTAAGTATTCGGCTACATAATAATTTTTGAGACTCTCTTCTGATTGTAATGATGATGGGGACCTTTCAGCTGTCTAACTGGTTCTACTATCTGTGGAGCAGGTGCTTGTGCTTTTTGAGCGACAGCTTGCTGAGCCATTTGTAATTGGTAATCGGCTTTTTGCTTTTCTAATAAAGACTGGTATTCAGTTTTTTGCTATGCCAGTGCGTTTTGGATCGCTTTTTGCATATCTTCTAAAGAAACTCCGTGTTGTTGAGGAGCTGAAACGGGTAAGGGTTCATATATTTCTCGAGATGTTCGTTGAGAAACTAATGGATCAGATATTCTATCTCTTTTATGCCTAGCTATTCGGCGTAATTCTATCTTATAAAGCTTTTTAGCTAATTCGTTCAATGGTAAATGTTCGCCGATATCCTCAGCTTTTTCAAGCCATGGAAGTGAAAGAGCATCTAAGAACTTCCTACATAATTCTTTGGGTCTATAGTTGGCTCATCTACCTATTCGTAATATTTTTCTATATAATTTATCTATAGTCATGTTTCCCTTTCCAATTGTTCTATACATCATATTCCGAAGCTCTTCTTCTACTGTAGGAAAATGAGTTTTTAACCACCATACGGCTTGACCAAAACGAATTCCAGGTACAACTACGATATTACCAGCATTAGCATTGGGAGCATTTGGAGTATTATTAGTAGGTCGGCCTCCCACTATACGCCAGTCTTCATCCCAAGGACCTTCTACGGCTCTTAACTTAACTATTGCATTTCCTGGCTGATTAAGGGCCTCGTTTATTCCATTAGCTCCTATCTGAATAGCTGTACGTCCATTTACAGCTACTATGTTAGCTTGCCTCATATTATTAAGTAAGTTTGCTAATTCCCAATTTTGCTTTGTAGTAATTTCTTCATCGAACCATTCTAAAGTTCTTCCTCTCATACAGCCTCTTAAATATCCCATAGCTACTTCTCTTCCTGTTGGTGGACCTCTTGCATTATCTGCTGGATTTACACCTTGGTTTTGCAAGTATAATCTTAGCTTCGCAAGAAAATCTAAGATATCGTCACCCTAGTCAAAAAATGGTTCGGTATTCCTGCCATTCCTATTCGTTGTATATTAGGTGGATTATTCTGTAGCGCAAAAATTTGTTGATTTAAAATTAAAATATTCTGGCGAGAATTAATTTCCTGAGCCTTCTATTTTTGATACTGATTAAATACCCAGGCTTGATTGAATTCTGCCAAGTCAGCCTCAGCTTTGCACCTTCGATATATTAGCTGAAGGGCTAGCTTTTCTCCCAGCAATTCACCGATACGGGTTTGCTTTCTTGCTATATTATTTATCATTCTGTTTACTTGATTCTGAGCATTGGTCCGTAACTGATCACGCTTCTGCACTGCTTGATCGTGCTCCTGCCTATATATATCACGGTTCCATCGTTCATTCACCAGTTCTTGCTGCAGGTTAGTGTATTTACGTCGGATTGATCTTGTTGATCTTTTAATTTGATTTGTTAAAATGGTTCTACATATTGTTGTATTATCTAGGGATCGGTCTATAGCATCGGCCAATTCAGCTATTGTATCCATATCTAAATTTTGATCAAAATTATAAATATCTAAAGAATTTTCATCGAGGTCGGATTCGTTTTTATTATTCCATGCTTGTGCATTTTGCAAAGCCTCTCTGGTATTTATAAGTTCTAATCTATCTCGGTATCTTAATAAGGATAATGCAAAATTTTGGCAAAAGAGGTCTGTAATACGGTTTTTTTGTTGGGTTATTTTGTTAATCCTATTTATTTGATTAGTTCTTACCGTATTTATTTCTCGTTTAAGCCATTCATTTTCGTCCACTAATCTGATTGTATAATCTTGTGCTTTGGGGGTATTGCCCGCAGATTTGGATATCTTCCGTATTCAGTTTTTTAATTTTGTCTCTCGTTCATCGAATTCTGTTATTAATTCATTCTTATTTGAAATTTCTTTATCTTTCTTTTTATTTTCCTCTTCAAGCTATCGGACAATTCGTTTTAATTTTGAAATTTCTTCTGTTAATTCTTCTTTGTCTTGCCTAGATAGTTCAATAGCATTATTCAACTCTTCTTCAAGAAACCATATTCTTTCCTCCCGTATGCTAATAATTCTTTCTAAGGTATATAGACGCTGTTCGAAATTCCTATTTGATTCTGCTAATTGTGATACTACCTCATAAAGCTCTTGGTTGGTTTGTTGTAATTCCTCCATTTTTATTTAGTATAGTATAATGAAAAAACCTTTGATTTATATCGATTCACAAAAAGCCCATGATTTGGATAGGGAGATTGCTTTGCAGAAACTATATTATAAACCTGAAGGTTATTATTGAACTGCTGAAAAAATGCGAGATGCATGTGTAAGGGCTGGACATAATTTTTCATTAGCTGAGGTAGGTAATTGGTTAAATAAGCAAGCTGTTTTTCAGATTCATAAGCCTTGCCCTAAATTTATTCAATATTCTTCTTTTAATGGAATACAAATTTTAAATGAAGTTCATCAATCCGATACCACACCTATGCCCCATGATAAAATTGGCAACCGAATTTACAAGCACAGAGGAGTAATAAAAGATGTAGCAACTAGATTCCGTAAAAGTTATGCTTTAACTAATAAGTCATCGACATCATTAGCTAAAATGTTTATGAAAATTTATGGTGATCCAAATTGCCCTCTTACCTGGGCTAAGGTTTTAATTGTGGATAAAAGTACCGAATACTTAGGCGAGTGCAAAGATTTATTACTTAGCCATGGTGTAAAAATCCAGTATGCTGTAACTAAGGAAGGTGTTGCTATTGCTGAATGTGATCATCAAGAATTTGAAAAACATGCATATTTTCGGCAAGACGCCATAAATTTTCATTTACCTTTAAGTAAAAGATCTAGAGCATAGGTTAAGGGACTTCGTATAAATGATGATATTTTTAATAATACTCCTACTCGATTGATAGGTATGTCTCCTAATAGAGCTGTAAAAATAGCATTAAAAGGCAAAAAAATAATCGCTAATCCTGCTATTAAACATAGAAGACCAGTTGGATATAATGAACCTTGTTTATCTTATTATATTATAGTGAGGTATCTTCTTAAACCTAGCGAACTAGAACATGGTCCTGCTAAAAGAAGAATTACTGATATGAATTGGAGTCCAGAAATTTTTAATATTCGAAGAATTCTTGTACAAAAAAATCAACCTGTTTTATATTGGTTAGAAGATGGTCCAGAACATTCATTTGTAAGAGAGGAATTGATGCTAATTAAGCATTGTGATTTGCCTCCAAAATGGGCACTCGATTAATAATTATTATTCACCATCTGCAATTAGTTCTTCTATTGTTTTACTAATTTCTTCTTCAGTTATAGGACGCTCTTCTTTGGATAAAGTATAGTAAAGGCTGTATAAGTTTTCAAGACTAGCAAGAAGTTCTTTTTTATCTTGATACCATTTCCGATATCTGCTCATTCTTCTTTCATAGGCATCTTCATTTAGAAATAGCATTATAGTAGTTGATTTTATATACTCATCAGGATTTTCTTCTTAACACAAATTTTTTACATAACTAGCATATTCAGTAACTAACTTGCTATCTTTTTTATAGCGAATGCGTAATGCTTCTCTTATTATCTTGAGTTGTGCCTCCTCAATTCTTTTCCATGTAATATCACTCGCTGGGGTATTTTCTGTCATTGTATGCTAACACTAAGTCTTTGCTGTATAATAAAATGGTTAGTTTTAATTGCGAATAAAAAAATTCTAGAAAAAAAATATTGTAATATTATATGTATTAGCTAAGCGTATCTTTTATAAACCCAAATCCGTCAATATTTCTTGAGGAATATTATTTCCATATTGCTTCAATGCAGATAGATATGCCGGAATTCGACAATCCCCAATTGCCCATATTGTTATCCGGTCATTTAATATCTATCTCTTGGAGTCAAGTGGGTTGATACTCCTTTTTGTCTGATGAATTATATATGGAACGAAACGTTCACATCATAAGAAATTTGCAGTTCGGGGCTCATCCTCTATACCTTCTAAAATACAGCGCTCATAAATATCAATAGTTAACTCCTTTTTGACAAGAGATTTTTTGAGTTCCTTTGCCTTTTGCACATTCTTGTAACCATCCTCAGTTTCTAGTGCATAAGATTTAGATCTATTTCTGGCATATCTTAAGACCCGAGTTTCTGCAAATTCATCTTTCCACTTACTGATTACCTTTTTATTTTTTAGTTCATGTGAACCGTCCGGTTGAATTATCCATTGATCTGGTGGGAGTTTTTTAAGTAATGGGTGGTCTTCGGGATAATCACTAAAATCATAGAGTTCTGCATCCTCAATCATGTCGGCATAGACATCCTCAGTCTCAATTTCGATAATTAGTGAGTCCGTATTAGTATAGCATAATTTTGCACGATCTCCATACTTGCACTTGATATGATTATACCAGAAATCATACATGAAATATTTACTAAGATCTAAAATCGAAGCTCCGACATAGATTGGCTTATTGAGTACAACATTCGTTTGCTTTCGATGTACTGCTATAAGATTGCTTCCATAGAATATTTTACGACTAACTAGTGCCGGATCTGCTAACATTTTGCGCAATCGATGTTTCTCTCTTATTGATCGTACTAAATTTACCTGTGTGTGATGTCAGACATCCTCCATAGTTTTTTCGAATACAGCATTGTTCATTAATTTCTATAAATCTTTTTCGAATGCATTTTTTGCATCACGACGTCGTATAGTATTTGCTGTAATATATGGTTCGAGCCAGGGAGATTGATCAAACTTTAATATATGGTATATATGTTCAAGTTCCATCCCCAGTTCAAGACATTGCTAAAGATTTCGGTAATGGATAATATAGTGGTCTTTAGTCTTTAATGTTGCTACCAGTTTTTTTGTCTCAGCGAATTTGCCCCACTCAATTTATCAATTAAGTCTTTATTTTGATGAGGACTAAGCTCATTGTGCTTAACTACTCGACGTTCTGGGCAGAGCGGATAGTCACTATGTGATGGGTGAAGATTTTCTGGATATCTTAATTTTACTTCCCAAGTACTGCCTCGTTTTGCAGTTGGTGAAATAGTTCGAATATTGGGTAAATTATTCATGTCAAGCCACCGGAATCCTCCTGTTGGCAAATATTAAGACATAGCCCATCCATATAAATTATTAGCATCTAAATATAGAAGCCATTTGTTGGCTTTTCGCTTATTATAACATTTCATTCCTGGAAAATTGGCTTTTACTATACGATGTGGCACCATAGAATTTCCACCTCGCATCCAACGTTGTACGAATTTGTGCATATCCTCCTGCCCCTTATAGAATAATTCGAGCTCAACCTTGGTCACTTTTTTTGCCATATCAAATGCGAATGATAGCAATGTTATATAGTTCAAAGGGTCCAGTCTGGATACTTCTTTCATTGTCTTTCGGAAATGTTGAATTGAGTCCGCTAAAATTAAAACATCGGTTCTTAGATATAAATCATGATAGTCCCCGAATGTTTCACATTTTGCTTCCTTCCATACTTTCCGCGCATAGTCATATTGCTTTTGACTAATGGTGTAAATTTTTTCATGTTTACATGTTTTACAGCCATTTTCGCAATAATTTAGTTCGCCTAGCACTGTATTAAATTCTTTTCTTGACAGAAGCTCTGTTCTAGAGAAGCGCTCTGAATCATTTAATTCGTATGGGTACTCACTTTTTTGTGTAAGTAGCGGGAGTAAATGTTGTGTGATACTTTGTGCCATAATCGGGAAATACTTTGGTAGTTGTTCCGGTGTCTTTTCTTTGCCACGCAAATTAGTTGCCACTTTTTCTAATGACGGAAACTGGAATTGGCATGAATTTATAAACTTTATCTGCCCAATTATTATCATCTTATAATTCTCCATATTGTCCGCAATTATCTCGATTTTGTCATCACTAACTAAACCCAATTCCCGTATTTCATGATGGAAGTCATAATGTTTTCCATCATGATATATCAACGGAATCTTAATTTCGTCTAGCTTTATCCGGAGTTGAAGATTACATCCATGATGTGCTGGGCCACGATATTTTCCAGTAAAATGGTCGTGATCTCTAACTCTATTATCATTTATATCAGCTCGAAGTTTCATTTTGCATAAACAGCATTTGGTTGCTTTTTTGAATATATTTTCTTCCTCTATAGTCAAACCTTCTGTACGATATAAAGCTTCCATTAAGTTTTCTTCTGTGGCTTCGCACTTAATTTTAACACAACCATGATGTGCACTGCCTATGAATTTTTTGATTGAATCAAAATATTTTACTTTATTATATCAGGTTTCATATAACATTCCTTTACATATATAACATTTTATGCAGAGTTATGTGTTCACCAATTACGCTCTGTCATTTTATTTTTTCTGGGTTACGCAACTTTGGTTTGATGATTTCTTCCAAGTTTTGTTGCATGCTTTCCCATGACTCTGCAATTGAATTTGGAGTTCGTCTAACAATTTCTTTTGCAAGCTTCCCGTCTGTTTGGATTAAAACATAACCGTAACTATTAGGCTTCTGCTTCTGTAGTTTAATGGTTTTTTTATTAATAATGTTGTCTTCTATTAGATCACTATCTGCTTCGAGATCTTTAATGAAATAAAATGGCACATTTTTCATTGCTTTATAATTTTTGAATTTCATGATATGCTTCCCCTTTTCGGAAAATATTTCTCTTTGGCCAGCATTAGGATTATTTCGTCCATGACAGTTGTGCTTTTTGTGTTCTTCAAGCAGGTCCTTTTTTGAAAATGGAGCAATCATACAGTGACGGCAGAAATATTTTCGCTTATTCCAACTACTCATAATTTGACTCCATCCACTTTCACCATTGATAAGACAATAGTGCGTATTTAATCCTAGAGGGATTTCATTAATATTACAGCGATCTCTCAAATCTTCCTCTCCTTTGGTAAATAAAATTAAATCCACCATATGTTCTCTTTGATAGTTGTATTCTGATATGCGAAGTGGGTCCAACTTTCTAGTTGTCTACTCTTTTTCATTTTTGGACGGTGCTGGATAGAAGACATTTATTGAATAAGATGGATTATTTTCTTCAAATTTGTTAATATCACGCAATGTGGCTAGAAAATCTATACCGATGAAATCTAATACATTATCAAAGCGCCTTAATCTACTAACATCATGAAGATTTCTCGCTCTAGTTCCCTGTCTACGAGCTTCTTCACTAGCTAAATAACCTTTTAAACAGGCTTCGAAACATCTTTCATCTGTATTTTGTGGATTGATTATTCCTAACTGAGGTTTTGCCCAAATCTTTGGTAATGCAAAATGTGATCTACCTCGGAGTGGCTGGTACGCACTTATTTCTAAAAAGATCTTTTTACTATATTCATAAGTCCAACCCGAATGTTGATTGTGTTTCATTTCGTCGATTTTATCTAGAATTTCATGATATTGTCGTGAGACTGTTTGGTCTATTCTATTCTGGCGAATAATATTCAAGATTTCACTTGGAAATGCTATGTTTTGATCTAATCGATGATTATGAAATCTTCCTACTGTTACAAACCGATACATATGAGCAATAAGGACTATCTTTGTTTTAATTCCTTCTAAGCGAGCTAATTCTCTTCTATATACATCACTGATTTGGTCTTCAACATCCTCGAACGTGGCTAAGGGATCTTCTCAATAGGAATAATTTTCGAGAATATTAGCAAGAAGATCAACACATAAACCTTGGTCAGAAATTCTTCTAGTTTTTACTAACCTTTTCGGAGCTAGATCTTCTATTTTTCGAAATATTATTTTGTTTTTTTCTTCAGGTTTGGACTTGTTATCAGATTTAGAATCTGATTTATCTCCTTCATCAGCGGTCTCATAGTCGCTTTCCTCCTCCTCTTCTGACCCCGGCTCTTCTTCTGGTACTAGTGGCTCGGAAAGTTCGGATAACTTGGGTGGCGTCGGGTCTCCCCAGCTTGGTAAGAGATTTTTGAACAATCGTCCTAATGCGCCGGTGATACTACCAAGTATTTCGCTCATTTTTTCCTAAAGATTATATATGGTTACAAAAAAGTTTAAAATAAAAATTAATTTATTCAGATAAATAGAGTTACATATTTATTCAAAAGAACAAACTAGTATGGGATTTTATAAATGTCCATATATTCTTAGGTCCGGAGAAGTATGCAATGAGGGGTGCTATCGAGCAGAAGGGTGTAAAGTTCATTGGAAATCTTCTAACCGAGTTCTCTGTATAGAATGTGGAAAATTAACTTCCTCTATTTATAATGCTTGTAGGGAACATGCAGGTAAATATCGTATTCGAGAATTTTATCAACGCCAAAAGCTTGCAAAAATTCAGGCTAGTGATGGGTTAGTGATGGGCTAGTGCCAGGCTAGTAACAGGTTAGTGCCAAGGATGTTCTGGAAATATTTCTGGAACCCAATATGTATGCATTTATATCACGATTTTTTTATATATAAGTAAACCTATTTGTCTTATAATATTAGGATTTATTATATACTTTATGGTTTGTTTACATGTGCTTCACTTCGCTTCACACAAAGGCTCCGCTACGCTCCGCCTATAGTAAACTATGAATTGCATTTATTATATGCTTTATGGTTTGTTTACATGTGCTTCGCTTCGCTTTGCACAAAGGCTTCGCTACGCTCCACCTATAGTAAACTATGAATTGCATTTATTATATGCTTTATGGTTTGTTTATATGTGCTTCGCTTCACTTCGCACAAAGGCTCCGCTATGCTCCGCCTATAGTAAACTATGAATTGCATTTATTATATGCTTTATGGTTTGTTTACATGTGCTTCGCTTCGCTTCGCACAAAGGCTCCACTACGCTCCGCCTATGATAAACCATGTTTTGTATTTATGATTTGCCTCATATTTTTTTGATACCCAGGGCAACCTCCTGAACCTATTTGGATGCAATGTGCCAAAAACCATGCTTTATGATTTGTTTACATGTGCTTCGCTTCGCTTCGCACAAAGGCTCCGCTTCGCTCCGCCTATAGTAAACTATGAATTGATACTCAGGGCAACCTCCTGGTCCTATTTGGATGCAATGTACCAAAAACCCCGTTTTCCATCTACTGTCTCAGCTTGCAAATACTTGTCCTCAGACTTGGTGTAAGTTACCGAAAAGGCCTAGTCTGAAAATGTATAGGATATAGAAAGATTAGAGATGTATATACTACACCTTCTCTAGGGTAACCTAGTAAGTATAAGAACTCTACTGGGTTATCTATCAAATTAAAGCACAAGTAGTGTAGTACATATCGATCTAAATAGTCTTCAATGAAGCAGTACAAGGTTATAGATTGGTGTAATTAAGGTGGTAGTGCAGGACAGGGGACACCAGAGAGTTTAATTAAATAGCTCAAGAAATAGTAGGTTATAGATATGGCATCTAGTGTAGACTCTAGTAATAGATAGCTACTTAATTAGGCGCTCAAAAGATGCAGGTATGATTAGAATATATTCTCATTAACCAAGAATATACTACTAATATACCTAATAAAAATTCGCTTTTTCGCGATATTGCAAAGGTAAAAAAAAAAAAAAAAATAGTTTTGAAGAAAAATTAGTTAAGTAAGTTTCAAAATACTTAAAATAAAAGGGTTGATAAAGAAGCTTATAAGCAAAGAAAAAGTCAAGATTTTATTCTTTGAAAAACTTAAAAATAAAAATAAAAATGCAAAAATACTTGATAAGATACTTTATAATAAAAACAAATAAAAAAAATTAAAAATAAGATTTAAAACAGAAATTTATAAAAAAAGTACTTGATATAATCAAAAAAATTTTAATACAAAGTTTAAAAGGATATTTAAAACTTTAAATATAAACTAGTTATTGATTAAAAAAAACAAGATTACAAATAAAATTAAAAAACAGAAAAAAGTTAAGAAAAAGAAGAAAATAGTGCAAAATCCTAAAGATAAAGAAAACAAGATTACAAAAAAAAAAAAAATTATAAACAGGTTTTAAAGAAAAAAACTAAATTTAACATAGTATAAAAAAATAATTAAAATCTAATCAAATATTGTATTAAACTTGATTGGTTTTCTTGAACTAATATTGTAAAAAGAATTAATAAATTTGATAAGATTAATAGCCTTTAGTTTACTTAAATAGGCAACCAAAAGTTGCATATATGGCTAGCTGTATTCTTTAATATAAGGGTTTCACAGAAACCTTCTACTTATATACTTGAATAAAAACCTCAGCCCAAAGAAGCTAGTTATAAAACAAAAAAAAAAAGAATAATATTTCTTCTTGTTTAATTAATAGTGTAATACAACACTGTTCTATATAAAATTTCTTAATGGTATTCATTTAAAAAAACCTTTTTCTTACTAAGTAAATCACTTTTAGGCTTCTAATAAAAGTTGTAAAGATAGAGTATAGTGACTTAGTAAAGTTGATAAGTTGTTACATCTCTAAGTGACAGAACAAGAGTTTGAATCTTACTGATGATAAAATTTGAATTTTATAGAATATATTATGACAAACTATATATAATCTAATAAATTAATGAATCTGTAACTTTGGTTATATCAGCTTGTATTGAGAGGCTGTAAAATATTAATATGATATATGAGTTATATAAAACCCGAGTGAAGCAACAAGTAAATCTAAAAGCTGAAATATACAGAAGTCTGCTTGGTAAGTCCTGACTAGAGAGGTAATACAGACTTTTGATAATATTATATAAAGGATTATTAATCAAGAAACTGAAAAACTGGATAAAACTAAGGTGTTTAGCAAAAGCACTATATCAACCAGGTTGCTAGATAATTAGAAGAAGAGATTGCTCTTTTAAGCTATCTGGATTGGAAGTTTGGAGAAATCAGAAAACAATAAATAGTCTATATAATAGGTGCTGGAGTTTGAGTAAACTTTATAAAGGCAGAAATAGATAATAATAATGGTTTCAGCTTGCAAGTACTTGTTTTCAAACTTGGCATAAGTTACTAAAATCTAGATTAACCAGATTGTAGATATGGAAAGCTTTAGCAATAATGCCTCGAAAATAAATTAGTTCTAAAAGAATAGAGAAAACATCTGAGATTTCTTGACTAACAAATGTAACAAAGATATACTAGTAATATAAGTGGGTGTATTACAAAGAGTTTAAGGGTAGGGTGTATGTAGATCATTTTTCATATGATCTATATGGTATTATGGATTTTATATAGGAAGTAAAAATCTGCCACAAGCAAAACTTTTTAATGCTTTAATTGATGATTCTCCAGTGAACAGAAGAATGATCATAGTGTAACGTGACGTAGTTTTATATGTAAATTACTATAGACAAAAATCTGGAAAATTTCTTAAGAAAAATAGTGATTCTTCAAAGAAAACTTT